TGTGTACATATTTAGTTTTAATTTTTTTACGAGTTTTTTTTTTTTTTACTTTTTATATTGATAAGGCTGATTATTTGCGGCTGAGGAAATATTCATATCTACAGGACTAACTAGTGGTTGAGGTGAGGTGAGGGAGGTTAGGTGACTTGAGTATAGTTAAGGTGAGGTGAGTTAAGGTAGAATAAAACGATGTTTCCACGACAAGTTATTCGTTCTCCCATACGTAATTCGCTTTCTCATTCGCAATTGGTGCCCGAACGAACCGAACAAATCGTTTTTGTTTTTTATCGGAAATTAATCAAAACAGCATAGACCACACACATCCCCGCCAGCACAAACATTGAAAATAAGCTAGCTTCGTTAAAATTATTGATTTAGCTATTTAGCCACTACATATCGAGCCCTAACCGCCAAAATAACGTAAGCGACATTTTTTTCAAAATTTTCTTTTTGATGCAGAAATATTCCTAGAGCATCTAGATGCATTTCTGAATCAAAAAGAAAATTTTGAAAAAAATGTCGCTTACGTTATTTTGGCGGTTAGGGCTCGATATTTTTTCTTCCGTTGAAATGCACAATAAACAACACATTAAACAATAAAGTGAATTACGAATGTATCGTGTAAACAGGATGATTCGCCGTTCGTAATTGGGGTACCGAACAACGTGATTCGGTTGTCGTGGAAACGCCGTTTAAGTTGAGTTAAGGTGAGTTGAGTTAAGGTGAGGTGAGATGCGGTGGGGTGGGGTAAGTTTAATGGAGGTGAGCTAGGGTAGTGGCTAAGACAGTTGAAAGTCTTTTGTAAGGCAATTCGAAAGATAGTAAGCAAGATAGTTTGAAAGATTTTGTTTATTCTATAACAAAAGTCTTACAAAAGCCAAATTTTATGGTGAAAAGTTTTTTTGGCAGTAAGCTCTTGTATATCACTTTGCTCGCGCTGCTCCAACAATCGCAATGACCGAGTGAGGAAAGCCACGACTCACAGTGGAGCAAAAGAGGTTGCTGTGGACAAATGAATTCTGATAGCCCAAATATGAACCGATTTGAAGTTTCTTTTTTTTTAAATAAAAGATAATTAAATTTCGTGTCGATCTATCCATGGCGATTTTTTAAAAAGGCTCTAGTGTTTTATTTATTTATGCTGAAAAATGAAAGAAAAAAATTTTACGTTTGAATGCTTCCACTTTTTTGGAAAGTACTTGAAATTAATTTCAAATGTCTGCAATTCTCTAAAAAAATAGAGGATACATTTAATTTAAAAATGTATTTCATCCGTTATCTATACTAATATATATTTTAAGAGCCGTTTTTTCGCTTTTTTCTAATCGAAAAACTGGAGAACAGCTGTACCTATATTATTGAAATTTTGGACATCGACTCTAGACCCTCAAAGGATGATGATAGAAGAAAAATAAATTCGATATATCAAGGGGGCGTGGCACCTCCCATACAAACTAAAGTTTTCAGACAACATATCTCTGGAAGTATTCATCGTCGAGTGCTGCAATTTAGTACAGATATATAATATCACGCCAAAGTCATGGAAAAAATGGGGATTGTTTAAAAAGGGGGCATGGCACCTCCCATACAAACTGAATTTCTCACACCACATACATATTCTAATGTTTGATTACAAAAAAACGGCTTTCAAAATATACTATATCAGTATAGATGGCAAATTAAACATATTTTTTAATTAAATGTTTCCTATGGAAAAATGTTTATGAATAGTTTTTTAAATAATTGCAGGCAATTGAAATTAATTTAAAGTATTTTCCAAAAAATTGGAAGCATTTAAAGTAAAATTTTTTTATTTCACTTTTCAACATAAACAAATAAAAAACTAGAGCTTTTTAAAAAAATCGCCACGGATAGATCGACGCGAAATTTAATTATCTCTTATTTAGTTGATATTTTTTTGAGCTCAAGGCCGGGATGAAATAAAACAATCTGTTTTTGTTGTTTTTAAATCGTCTATATTTCGACTTCAGTCTGAAGTCATCATCAGGTTTAAAAAAAAATAAACTTGAAACCGGTTCATACTTGGGCTCTCAAAATTGATTCGTCCACAGCAACCTTTTTTGCCCCACTGTGCGACGTGCCGTTGAAGGGATAAGGGGTCGTGTGCTCGGGCAGAGGAAATTTTTTTATATTTTTCCCCCAGTTTTTAAATTTAATTAATCTTTTAATTCTTGGAAATATTATTTTCTGATTTTTCTCTCTTTTGTTTATGTTTTAAATGTTATTGTTTTAAAAGGAAAACTATTTTTTAATTTAATTAAATTTTTGGAAACATATTTTTTCTTTTTTTATGAATTTTTAGTTATTCACCTTAGGCAGCTGGATTCTACAACGACAAAAGCTTTACCTCTAACCACTCCGTCCCTACGGTCCAACCCATCATGTTTTCTAGCTCTTACCGATAATTGTAACCGCATAAGCTATTCTGGCCCAGTCCAGTAAACAGCTTCACTTCGGTTAGGTACAACACATGTAGTCATCAATGAACATGCTCAGGCCTTAGGTCACAGGGAGTCAACCCCAGGTCTTTTACCCCCGTGTTGCTCAAGCCTTACCATCCGCCTGCACGGCCTCCAACGCGCGGCTGCGAACCAGCATCCAAAGAGCCCCTCACATAAGCAACAACTCATCTAACTCCGGCGGGAAGAGCATATCTCACCAATGTTCTCAATTTGTCGTTGGCCACCCTCATAATTCTAGATATGTGGTAATCAGGGAGAGTGGCTCTATTACTAAGCCGGGGAGTCTTATGACCCGATAGCTCTTCTTTTCCTAGTAGTGACCGTTTAGGCCTTGCTGCTCCCGTACTTCACGTGACACCTGACCCTAGCGAAGCCCCTGTGAGAGAACGGTCCTAGTAGCATTGGACTTTTCAAAGTCATTTTACACCGCAGGGACTCAAACGGTGGTCAACGAACTATTTAAGTGATCGGCAGTCTTCAGTAACCTTTCGTGACGAAACTGCTAAGCCAAGGGGTCACCAGGGTGCTGTTCTATCCCCGCTATTGTTTAAATTCTACATCTTAAAACTTTCTCAGCCATCGCAGGGAGTTTACCTCAATTGTCAATAAAGTACATAGCCACAATAAGGGCCTCAGCAAGCAGTTTTTGTAGGGTGCTACAGACGCTAGGATGCGCACAGGTCCTTGATTGAAGAGAAGCTTCCACCAAATCATGCCAGAAGGACTCTTTTCGAACACAAAGACGTGGACCAGACCTACATCAAATAACCAACGGAACCCAACGGCGTATAGATATACATACACTACATCTCAAAGCTTCCTCAACCAGCAGAGGGAGTCGCAATTGTCTCTTATGCTGACGACTGCTCGATAATGGCGTCTGGGAATGGAATTCATAACTTGTGCTCGAAAGTAAACGGTTACCTCTCCGACCTCTCTCGCTTCTTCACTGTAAGGAGCCTAACCCTATCCCTAAAAACTCCTCGGCAACCCTTTTTACCACCTGGACGAAGGAGGACAGACTACAGCTGGGAATTCTCGTCGATGTCGTCCAAGTTCCGACGGTGAATGAATTGTCAATAAAGTACAGAGACGCAACAAGGTCCTAAAGTCGCGTGGCGACGTGGCCACCCGAACAGACACTTGCTTACGCAGGAGCCCCTCACCAAGACACGTCAGAAGGCGTCTATACGAACTAAAGGACGATGTCCAGAGGTTCGTAAAGCAACCTCTGCACCAGACAGCATGCCGAAAGGCCATAAGCGCCATTCACAGGGAATCAGTATCAACCTACACTGGCTCTCGACCTGCGAATGCCGTTTTGGGAACACAACCACCTGACGTGGACGAGACAGAGCTTTGTCTGCCTCGGGAGTCTCGAACCACAATGACCCAACTTCACTCTGGCTACTGCAGCTGGTTAAACTCGTACCTGAGCAGATTAGATGTAAATGTACCCAATGAGTGTCCGGAAGGCGGAGAGACACCCCGCGATTCGATTTGCTTCTTTTCGCATGCCCAATAAAACCCCACTCAGCTAACGCCTCGGTCCCTATGGACAAACCGCATAGTGACAAGTCTATTTTGGCGGGGATGAGTAGCCGCTACAACAACAACGGCAACGGCGTATAGACAAGCCATCAACTGCATTCATAGAGAGTCCGTCACCACCTTGAATGCCGTGATAGGAGCCCAATCCCCACCCACCGGACACAGTGAGCTTCAGCTGTCTTGAGGGAACCACGTTAGTCCGACTCAGTTAAGGTATGCTGCATTTGTCTGAACTCGTATCTCGTGCATAATGCGTGTTCGGAATGTGGAGATTCGCCACGACTCCAAACCCCTTTTCATATGCCCACTCAAGCCTAATCAGCTAACACCAATCTTTTTCCGGTCCCACTCCGTTCGACACACACCATTTTTCCTGAGCCTACCATTACTTGAGCTTGACCACAACGGTTGATGGACAAACCCATGAAACCGGTTTTTTTCCAAACCAAACTTAACAGGGGATAACGGAAATTCGTCTTAAAATAAATCATCTTACCACCCAGTTGGAAAAATCAACCAACCCCAACATAAAATTGTTGCCTGGTGCTGTCGCCTGGAATGTATTTATGGTATCGACGACAACCAATTAAGGGCCCGTTTTGCAGTTCAAAATAGCTAAATTATTTAAGGGATTCCCTTAAACTCGCAAAGTCTTAAACCGTGTAAAACGAAGAGCTCGTAAATAGAGCTCCATAGGAATTTTGACAGTTCTTTTACGAGGCTCGTAAATTTAGGAGCTTTACGAGGTTTGAGACGCTTTTACGAATTTAAGGGAAGACCCCTAATGATTGCAACGCTTCGATGTTCGGTAAAAAAAAAGGTTTTTTAAAATTAGAAATTTTGTATAAACCTTTCATAAAAACGTATTTTTTCGCAAACATCTTACAAAGTAGATTTCTACTATATTTTGTTATAAATAAAAACTTCCATCACCAGCCAAGGCGTATCCATATAAGATGGTGTTCATGTCAAAAACATGTGTTTCTTGTACATTTGTGGTAATTCATGCTGTCATTGTGCGTATAGTTTGTTATTGTAATTTTTGTTTTTGCCCTACCGATACCACTTTGTACGAATTTGCTTTGTCAGCAGCATTACATAAAATACAACTCTGTATCATTTTGTCGTTATCTTTACTTTCCTTCCCTGTGCTGTCAAGAAATCACGAACAAACGTCAAAAACATTTTAAACAAAGTTTCACCTCTTGCTGCATGAATCAAAGAAAAATTAGGCCAGAAACGTAAATTACTTAAAAAATCACATAAAAATTTACCGAAAGAAGGCCGCTGAAGTGTGTTCTTTGTCTGTATCGTAGAAAAGTAACCACTAACCAAAAACCATTTGCATCATAGAGGTACTGCGTGCAACCGTCCCTCCGGCCGTAGACCTAGCAACACAGTGCAGTAAGCAGGTTGGTAGCAGGAACAGCCGATCGAGGCACGGTGTGGTGCATTGCATTTGTGTTACCGACAACAAGTTCCCTTGGAGTTGTCGCAACGGCGCCGTTTAGGATGGATGCCAAAAATGACGATTCCGCTGGCAGCGACTCGCTGGACAAGTCTTTGCAAAAGAAATGTGTAGTCGATGACGTTGGTCAGGGTGAGGGTTCAACGGCAAATGCAGCGCTGGCGCAAGGCATTAGTGACAGAAATGATAAACAAAAATCGGATACTGACGCTACTGAAAATCACCCTCCTGCAATTTCCAATAATTCACAAAACAAGACTGAGAAGAGTGCTGGTGATGGCGTATGCGGTAGTGTCTTGGAAAATAGTTGCCGAGTGGAAGGTAAATATGAAAGCAGTAGCATTCACAACGCAGGGATTGCAAACGATTCAGAAACAGCGCTTGTAGTTGATGATGCGCACGAAGCGGCTAATGTCGCCAATGTTAATAGCAATGCGGCAGAAGGTAAAACGTACACTCTTAACAGTGATGACGCCGCCATTTCCAATAATATAGAAAATGATGCAGCAGAGGCGCCTAGCGAAAGTAACTCCAATAGTAGCAACAACAGCACCAATAGCAACAGTAATTGTAGCAGCAACAATAGTTATGCCTTCGAAACAAAAGTTAAGCAGATCTCCAAGAACCTCAAAGAGACAACTCTGGCTGAGTGCGCGAATAAGAAAGCCTCAGCAGACGATACGAACTCCACTTCGTCCGCATCTTCAGCCTCATCGGCCTCGTCTACACCGGAGTGTGAACAGGCGACAGGCGATGCCGCGACGGCGGCTTTATACTCGTTGGGTCCTAGCACTAGCGCCGCCGCGGCGGCAGCAGCAGCAGCCGTAGCTGGCGGTGCCAGTGGCCAAGATGAGCATGATCATCGCTCAAAAAAAGTACGGTTTCATCCAGATGTTAAGGAAAACGACGGTGGTAATAGGGTTATTCCAAAAAAGAAGAAGAAACTGAAAACAGCTCAGGCTGGAGGTAGCCCGGGCAGCGGCGCTGGTGGCGCCGGCGATGATGCGTCAGGTAGTAGTCAACGAGGTACATCGGCTGAAGATGACATGGAGTTTGACGAAGAGGAAGATGTGGAAGAGGAAGGTACTTTCAGCATAGCTAAAACGATAGAAGACGCGCAAGATTATTTGAAGGAGCATCCGCTCACATTTGCCGGTTCCTTTGATAAAAGTAATGTCACCACACAAAGCGGTCTGCTAGAAGAAGAAGACTTACCACAGCTAGCCGAAGCATCAGAAGACGATGACGAAGACTTCTGTGGTCAAGAGCTTCCAGAGAATGGAGTGGCATGCATTCTAGGCAAACAAAATAAATGCGGAAAGGTAGAGATATTGTTTCCAATTATGAATTTTGATACCCAATATGCAATTTTTATATTTACGAAATTAATGAATAAACTTATTTTCATAAGGTTGAGTTCCTGCTGCGTTATGTAGATAGGCCTGGCTTATTTTGGGAAACAGAAGAATTAATCGGTCAGCGATGTCCCAATTTACTTAATCAGTATGAGCAATGTCGTGAAAAACGTCAGGCGCGTTTAGTGAGTTGTATACAAGTAATTATTACGAAGCCTTTGTGTGTTTAAAACAATTATTTTTCCCCAACTAGATGAACTTTGTGGCGAAGCGTCAAAACCTACGGCAGCGATACACCGACTTCTAGAAACAAATGTGTTCACGTTGAGGTTGACTTGACTACTGGAACAACAACCATATTTCGCTTTATAGTGTTTGCGGTGCAGAAATGCTTCTCACGATAAAAATATATATATATATACAAAAATCATTACAATACAAAAAGTATGAAATTTAATGCAAAATTGCTGCTTTATTAGAATGGCAATATGTACAGTAAATTTCATGATGTTCTTCAATGACAACGAGGAACTATAAAAATTCAATAACTGCAAGAACTGCTACAGCAATCGTAGCATTATCCCTCCCCGATTTCCATTGAACAATTTATACGACAAATGCTTTTTTATAGTACCCATATAACCTTAGTTCACATATTCCGCTGCCGTGTGCATCATTTTCGATGAATTGACCGCACAACCACCAGAGACAGTGAATGAAAAAATTTAATAGCTGGACTTGTATATGTAAAACAGATTAACTTTTATCAATGTACTCATTTAATGGAAAATAACTATTAAATTGAAAATGGGGATTTAAAGATATGCAAAAATGCCAGCAAAAGCACAATGCAAAAAAAGAAATAAAATCGATGATAGTAATATAATTAATTATATATAATAAACTATAAGTAAAAGAAGCAAAATTTTTTTCATTAGCAGACATTAAAATATGAACCATGCATATGCATTTTAATGTTATTGATATTAAGTCTAATCTTATGACGGACACGTGTATAATTTGGGACTATCGCTGAATCAATCGTAGTCCGATTTTCGTAAAATCTACGAAAATGCGATCACTTAATCCGAATAGCACGAACGTATATATTTAAAGTATATGTATGTAGACTACGATGGAATCGTGAAAGTTACTTTAAAAATAATTGCTGTTGTCCTTTGTCATTTTATTTCCATTTTTGTGCCTAGTGTACATTCGGTATTAGCAATTATTTATTAGGAAATTGGTAGGGAATAACGATGATTTCTCTTATGAAAGGAAGTGAATGAAAAATTTTTAATTTTCCTTGCTTTGCTTTTGGCATTTTCGTTGTTTTCTATTGAAAGAACCAAAAACTTGAATTCAACTGAATTGAAAAGTGTAAAAGCAAATAGAAAACAAAAGAGAATGAGCAAGAATTACTTTCAAGTACTTGAATCATGTAAATCGGGTGTAACCTAACCTAACATTCATGCTCTTCCATGGATTTTTTGGGAAATTTGAGAGCAGCCAATAATTTGTAATAATCACTTTACCGAACAGACCTGTTGTATAACGGCAAATGGACCCTCAAAGTAAAAAAACTACGCCAGTGTCGGATCAAAATGGAAGATAAACCCAGGGTTGCAATTTTTAGTTAAGTGTTGGTAAAATAACGAAAGCAAGCACGATGCAGAAAATGAAGGCGGCGCCATTCGCGGACCGCTAATTTTATCAACAGATGATTCGTAGCTTTTTTCCTATAAAAAAAAAAATAATTGTAACAGAAAATTTAAGGAATTAATCTAAGTTTGAACTGGCGTTGAAAAACTGGACCTTGCTGAAGTTTAAAATTTTAATGAAAATTTTTAAAATTTGCTTAATTTTTGTGAACTCTAAGTGCTTTCTGTTATAGTTCTAACTATGGCTGCGTTTCTTAAAGAAACTTTCTTTATACATTGCAGGCAATCCCATCTCATAGGCAGAATAAACAGCATGCGTTTGAAATATAATAATAATAATAATAGATTGGCGCTTACACATATGTTAGTGTTTGGCCGAGCTTCTCCTCCGATATAATCTAGAACGTTCTAAAGAGTAAGTAAACACACGTTCAGAATGGATAAAGAAATGCTGCATATATTTCAAATGCAAGTTATTATAAAAAGGCGGAAACGATATCATTTTGAATTTTGCTGCTATTTTATTGCCCGTGGGTGTATGAATGTATGCCTGTGGGACATTCTGTGTTAAGCCGCGCTTAAACGGGCCGATTTCGAGTCGACAAGAAAATGGACTAAACTAACTATTTGCACGAGTACACAGAAGACCAATCTAGAAAACATTGCGGGGCATTTGTCCTGCGTCGTTCTTTCATTGTTTTATTCCGTTTTTTGCTTTTAATTTTTTTCCGTGTAGGGCACTAAACACCCAACGTTTCCCAACACTAACAAATTTTCAGCATGCAACCCTGCAATTTGTAGCGTTGCCTTCCAAAACGTTTTTGCGCTTCATTTTCCACGCCGAAATCGTTTTTCTTCTAAACAGTGTTTTTTGTGCAGTAATTTGCCAATAAAACTAATTTTAAGTGAATAAATCTACTGATTCAGTGACAAGAGAATAGTGAGTATTGGCGTTGTTAATTTCCAAGTTTGTATTACGATTCTAACAAATTTTCTCATGTTTTTTGTGTCTTCGGTTCTGTTGCGTTGCGTTGCTGTACATTTTTCTTGCCATTACAATTTTTCGACTGAACCACTACTCGCAATTATACTTATTTTAATTGCATGCAGAAAGAAAGGGGAACGGCGATTGGTGTAATTGCTTGTTTAATTTAATATAAAAGTACAAAAAGTTATATCCAGTCAAAATGAAATCAAAGAAATCTGATTCCGCAACTACCGATGCTGTTGCCGACTCATCAGAAGAGGAAGAGTACGCAGTGGAAAAAATTTGCGGCCGCCGCGTGCGCAAGGGAAAGGTTAGTAATTTTAGTCAGCATTTTTACGTTTATTTATTATGTACTGTTGTTAAATGCAATTAAACTAATTTATTAAACTATAGGTCGAATATTATCTCAAATGGAAAGGCTATCCTGAGGAAGAAAATACCTGGGAACCCGTGGAGAATTTAGATTGCCAAGATTTGATACAGGCATATGAAGCAGATCGTGAGAAAAATGAGGTAAGTTGTAATTGTGTATAATGTTAGCATAGCGTAGCTTGTAAACGAGTCTGCCAGCTTATCTTCATAATAGGAGCAGATTTTGGCGGGAAATCGGTTGGTTTGCCGCTTAATTTTGAGCAATATGGTAGGTAGTAAATTTAAAGGTTGACCCTAAAATTATAAAAATGGTGATAGTAGGCCCGCTCATAAGTTGAATATTAAATTTGTACTGCTTCATTAATTTTACATATTGAAATTACCTGGTCCGGAATGTGTTTCGAGTGTTAGCTTAGCTTTAAATAGCTATAGATTCGCCTTGGTCTAACTGAAGTCGTTGCACGTTACATAGGTATATTTTTTCATACATACAGTGCTGGACATATCTATAGCACCCCTATTTAAAAGTAAAACTGTTTGCCACTTATGTTTAATTATTTATTTTTAAGAACTTTCAATTACAGTTCATTCTCTAACAAAACTGTTATAAACACAAATGTAAAACTTTTTAAAAGACTACGAAAAAATGCAACAAATATTCACCTAAATTGCAGACTTTTTACTCAGAAGTGTTAAAATATTTTTGAGTACATTTTAGTCTGATAATGTGCAACTTTCAAGTGGATAAAAATTACCATTGATTTTTTAGCTTTTTTTTTGTCGCATATGCTTCCATATAACGAATAAACACAATTTAGTTTTATATGGAAGAAACCCGAAGCACCTCCGGCGAAAAAAATCAACGGTGGTTTTTAGCCCCTTGAAATATGCACATTATTAGACTTACGGCTCGTATTCTGTATCAGTGACACAGTGTTTTTTACGGGAAAATATATGAAAAAGTTTAAATTTGTTAGTAAAAAATGTTTGTCACCGACACAAAATTGGGATATAAAATTTAATGGCCCATAAAACAGTGTACTCAAAAAAATTCTAACACTTCTGAGAAAAAAGTTTGAAATTTTGGGTGAAAATTTGTTGCATTTTTTCTAGTTTTCTACAAAGTTTTAAACTTGGACTTTTATGGGTCTTGTTAGAGAATGAACTGTATTTTAATTGAAAATTCCTAAAAATAAATAAATAAACATGAGTGGCAAACAATATCACTTCGAAATGGGCGTGCTATTGTATTGGCCATACGTATGTATGCGAAGTGAATTGCAGACCTGCCTGTTAATTCCAAATTTCAACAAACCTTACTAAGATTTTTAGAAAAATTCTAAGAATGCAGTTTTATAGCCCATTAAATTCTAGCTTAAGAAAAAAACAAGCTTCAAGGGGCTAATAATTCGCGTTTCTTTTTGATAATAATTCTTTTTGCTGACAGTGTCACGCATATTCTTCCATAGAAAGTATGTATGTTCGAATCTTTTTGTGAGGAAGAAAATTATTACACCATTAATTATCAAAATCAACGCGAATACTTAGCCACGTAAAACTTGAACTTTCTTAAGCTATCATTTAATGGGCTATAAAACTGTGCCTTGAACTTTTCCAAAAATCCTTAATAAAAAGTTTTGTTGTTGTTGTTGTAGCAGCATACAAGTTCCCCAAAGAGGTTTTGGGGAGTGCTGCTGGAATGACAGTGCTTGGCCAAATATAAATCCGGGTCGTTCCGCTTACGTAGACCCGACTGTCGTGGGAACGAATAAAAAGTTTGTTGTACAAGTTTGAATTTTTATAGTTTTTGTTAGATAACGAAATTATGAACATTAAACAGACATAAGAACAAAATCCCCAACTGTTAAAAATGTCGTGTCCCTATTATTTTTTCGCATGACTGTCTATATACATATAACAATCCAACAAACATTCTCCCAATCTCATCACATATGTTCAATAACTCCATTTACCATAACGTTTTCAGCCTGCCACATCCAGTAAACCACCTGAGAAAAAAGATACGTCCAGTAAAAAGGAAGCTAGCAGCAGTGGACGTACTAGTGCTGCTGGTAATAAACGCAAGTCTGAAGAGAAAACTTCAGGTAGGCAAAATTACTCGTTAAAATTATGTATGTACTGAAATAATTTCTCATTTTTCCAATTTTCTTGTCTTTATTGTCAAGCAGGTAGCAAGAAAAAACGACGTGACTCATTAAAATCAGAAACTGACAATGATTCAGTATCCGACATTTCCTCGCGTACCTCTGAGCGCACTGGTTTTGATAGAGGCTTAGAGGCCGAGAAAATACTTGGCGCCTCTGATTCGAGCGGTGGCTTGACTTTCCTCATACAATTCAAGGGTGTTGACCAGGCTGAAATGGTGCCAGCAGCGATTGCAAATGTTAAGATTCCACAAATGGTTATTAAGTTCTACGAAGAACGTCTCTCCTGGTATTCTGATAATGAAGAATAAGTTTAAATTAATTACATAGTTGATGATTAAATATCTATATCAAAATATAAACAAACAAGTAGACACATGCATACAACATGCCTAAAACAACACGACTTTTCACATTTCCTTAATATTATCTCGGGCAATCAGAGGTGAACTGTTAATATATAAATTGAATATGAATAAGTTCATTTTATATTATATTTGGAGACTATCGTAATAAAAACACACAATTTTACTCAATTTTAAACATCCAATGAACAAAGGAAAAAAGTTTCTCATATAGTCTTATAGTTAATATTTGCTTAACTATAAACTGTTTTGATTTTAACAAATATCACTATTTCACCACGTGTTTTTTAGTATGCACTGTACCGGAAAAGTCAAGTTGGTATCAATTTGTACATATTTTCGAAATATGTTCCGAAATTGAGAGAATCGTACACACCTTTTAACACTTTATTGCTCCATCCATGTTAGGACGATCGATTTGTTAGAACTAAACAAAAATCAAGCAATGTACTGATGTGGGAAATATGTTTAAATAAATTTAAAAAAATAAATAAAAATTGTTGCGTTATTTGTATGAAAAGGCTTTTAAAGGATTCACATTTCGGACAGGTAGGAAAATTTGTCGATAGGGAAATATGAATATACATACATACATATATCTATAGTCACAAACCTTAACTGACTTTTTCATATTTACATTAGATATGCCTGCAGGGTTGTTTAAGCCGTAAGGAATTTCCGCAGTGTTATGAAAAGACATCTGGACTAATTTTTTGTAAGCAAATAGAATAGAAGTCGCGAACACCCTAGCGCTGATGAGAACAGCACAGGCGTGTAGCTAAAAGATATGAAAAATATTACGAATATTTGTACATGGGCGGTTTAGCAACCACGTTAGGTACCTAAAAATACAAAATACATACATAATCGATACAAAACAAACAAAATGAGCAATTATACGCACTGATCTTTGTGTTGCTCTTGAATGCTTCATTTACATCCCCCATTTCCTTGTTACCTACCTCAGCAGTGACTAAGAATAAGGAAAAATTCTGCTTGTGTTTACTTTCCATGAAAATTGCATTAGCCTGCCATACGTTAAACGGATGTTTCACTAGTAACAAATGATTTCAAGTGGCGCCACGGTTGTCTTTTGAAATTTTGTAAAGTATGTTCTGTAATACATTCCCTGAAGAAAATATATACAGTACACGTAAGTCACTGAGTTGTGGTTATAGCAGCAGTGTTCAACCGACAGGAGGTCTTGTTGTGTGTACTCTTCATCCTCTGACTCTTGTGGGCTTCAGGATAAGTGTAGTCTATCCTGTTTTCGGTGTCTGGGTCGTCGGGTTGAAGGTGTATGCGAAAAGATGTTGGGTGTTATGAGGATCCTGCCCGCATGCTGGTTTGTGGGGTTGGCGGATCGTTCCGAACCAGAGCGTTGAAGTGGGTTTCACGGTAACATCACACGTTGAATTGCTCAGATAGCAGCCAACATCTGGCTTTCTTTCGTGGGGATGATGCTTGGACGACATGAGGTGGCCCTAGGTGCGGCCAGCTATCGACTTGAGCACTTCGTTCCTGGCTCGTAATTTGCTGCAGGTGGCTGAGGTGTGCGCAGAGAAGGAGAACAGGCTTTCAAACGCAACTCCAAGGATTTTCGGGTGGTTGGTTGTAGGTATTTTTACGCCCTCGACGTATACGCCCAGTTCGAGCCTGATCTCCTTGATCAATGTGGTGAAGAGTTGACGTTGGTTCAGACCCTCGGTTATCTGTGTGATGATGGCGTTCAAATCTGTGGTGGATTTTGTTGTTGTTGTTGTAGCGGCTACAACAACGCCGCTCAGATCAGTTAGTCCCTCAATCGTTGTCGTCATGCTCTACTAGCGGTAGCCCCAGGAAGCGTGCAGCCTCGACGGAGTCTGTCCATAGGGGCAGGGGCGTTAGTGAGGTGGGAATCAGAGGGCATACGAATAGATGCTGTACGTTATCGGTCGACTCTCCGCATGCCGGGCATTCGTTAAGAACATCCTCGTTTAATATGCTCAGGTATGAGTTCAACCTGCTGCAGTGACCAGAGCGCAGTTGGGCTATTGTGGTCCGAGTCGCCTGAGGCAGACGAAGTTCTGTCTCGTCCACGTCTGGTGGTTGTGTGCCCAGAACGGCATTCACAGGTAGTGCATTTTTTGTAATACATGCTGGTGTTCGGCTAGTTTCCGGTGCTTCGCCTCTGAGATAGGAACGAGATGGGTCTATACGAGTCTTCTGCGTTCGCCTTTTTGCTTGGCTTAAGAAGGAGAACGACCCTAGCCATTTTCCACATCTCGGGCATGATTAGGGTGGACAGTGACGCCTTAGATGCCTTGGCGTTGTTGACAGCGGCCTGTGCCCTTTCCGTTGTTAAGCACGTGTCTGTCTCATGAGGGCGGAGTTTGTGTGCTTTACGTAGCTGATTGCGACGGGCTTTATCCCTTCCGTCGTGCTATGAATTACCTGTTGAAGAAGCCCAAGCGATCCACAGCTCTTACTCGTCTGGACCGCTCCTCTCTCAGATTAGTAGTCGGTGTAATCACCGGACACTGCCATATGGGCACACACGGTAAAAGGTTGGGGTACTCCACCAACGATTTTTGTCGCAGCTGCAGGGACGAGGAGGAGGAGGAGGAGGAGGAGGAGATCATCGAACACTGTCTCTGCCATTGTGCAGCCCTGGCCAGCACGCGCAACCAACTCTTCAACAAATACTTTCTGGATTGTTTAGCCGACTTGAACTCGGCGAGCGTCCTCGACTTTTTGTGCAATATAAAATGCACTCGGTAGTTCAATTACTAAGGAAGGGTATGAAACAAATGGCTTTGGCCAGTGGTATCACAAAGGGGCTTTCCAGCCTACGTGTACTCCGTGCTCTGCGCGGGGCAGCCACTTTGACCTAACCTAACCTAACCTATACCTACCATGCCTTCCCCGCTAAAGCTCCGCGAAAACGCAGAAAAAAATGAGTGGGAACTCGGGTACAAAGCATTGCCGGGAAACTCTGTACCCCTGCCCAAATGGCAACTCTCCCTCCGTTCTTGTAAATATTTATCTGTACTTTTTCCGATACAACCTAAACTCCATTTCAATTCCCTGGTAGTAAAGCAACCCAGACCAATTATCCCGACCGTTTCTAACGAGGAGGTACTAGAAGTATGCAAGCAACTGGAACCAGCTATAGCTCCAGGACCTGTTTGCATTCCTCTGGTGGCATTGAATAACACGATTATTCACTTTACCGACATCACACAAGACGGACAATTTCCTACTATATGGACTAGCAAGACCGAAGCTGTTCTTGTTACACACAGAAAAATTCGCGAATATGTGAGCTTTAATGATAAAGGAATCATCAGATATTTGGTTATCATATTACGTTTGCGAATAGGCAACAAAAAGCATGCGGGGTTTTTAAAAGAATGGTGCTTAACGCACGTGGTCTCAAGCAAAATGGGAGACGATTTTTAGCCCGTGTCCTCAAGTAGGTGTCACTTCATGATGCGCAAGTTTTGGGCAAATGCACTCGACTCGACGTTCTACAGACTTGCACTCGAAGACGCAGCCCTGGTTGTCGCAGGCCTTCATCCAATAGACCTCTTAGCTAAGGAAACCAACTTCGAAGCACCGAATAAATTACCACTTACATTGAAAAAGGAAATTACAAGGCATGAAACTCTATCGAACTGACGAAGGCGGTGGAACGCAATTCGCAATGGACGTTGGACCCTCTATTTAACTTCAAATGTCGAATTATTCAAGTTTTTAGCAATTTCAAAGCAGAGAAACCTGGAAATATTGTCGCAAATACGCTTTAATCTGGAACTGGAATGCAGTTTCCCATGTTGCTGCAATAATTATGAACACACTTAAAAGAGCTGAATAAGACAGAAGAATACTCTTGGTAAGTTGAACCAGTATCGTGACCCATACGGTCAATGGGGTGGTAGTATTAAATAACTAACAAACTCAATACGTACTTACGTGTGAGCTTCGTGCTCACTGAGGAAATAGTTAACGGTAGTATCAGGTGAGAATCGGTACCGGACGGTAGGAGGTTTACTGGGCTAAAGTCTCACAGGTGCGGGGTATACATACATGTTTAAGTGTAGGATTTTTGAGGTTAAGCCAAAAAAATGCATACCCTTGGAAAAATGTTTATAAATTTATGTTAGCCGAATTGAATGCGTTGCTTAAAAGTTTTGTTGGTGTTCAATTGCATTTGCGTTGGAAGGCTCGGAATGGCTGAATGGTTGGCGTAAACAATCGATCGATGGCAATTGAACGAAATTACCGGTCGATGAGCGGCACCCCTGTACTTGCAAATATATATACGTATGTACTTGCATCCGTCTATACATACATACATATGTACCTATGCATGGATGTGTGTACGCATGTATGTGACATGCCCACCCGTAAGGCGTGCGTAGATACATATGTAAATATATATTTATGCTGTACGCGAGCAGCGGCACGCAGCCGGTTGTGATCAATAAATCACCTGCTAGAAGAAAAAAAACTAAAAAAAAATTAAGTATGGTGAATATCATGGGTTAGTTGCTGATTGCCGCCAGCTGTCGGCTGCTGGCGAACGCACCCAGAAAATGTCACACCAGTTTGCGTCTGTCGTTTCACTTATATTTTAAGTAAATCAGTTTGAAATTTTAGTAAAAAATTTTTTTTTGTACTTTCAGAAACAGGCTCTTCTTGAATATTCACACTTTTGTATGCATGTACTTACGTATGTATGTATGCATGTATGTATGTATGTATAAAGGGTGCCCTAGACCAGCCGTCCACCACTTATAAACTGACCGGAAGCCCATCATTTTAAATGTCATAAGCACATTTTACCACAGATTTGGATTCTGCCCATACAAAAACGTTACTTTCTTTTAAGTTTTTTCTCGGAAGTGCCTTTTCCAACCTCTAAATGACCTTAGACCAAAATATAGAGCATTCCGGACTTGGTAGTTCATAATTTTTCTGTTTCCATTAAAACTTTTTTTATTCCATTTCAGAAGGAATGGTCTAGGACACCCTTTATACATAAGTATGTACGTGTGAATTATTAACTATGTATGTATGTGTGTATGTTTATTTGAAATGTGCAAATAATTATAATCTTAGGGCGTAGGTTTATCCTGTCAAGTTTTGGCAAAAATTAGTAGATTTATTTAGTTCCACTTTCACGAGCAATTCTTCCTATATTATATTTATTTAAGAGCTTTCAACACATGTATAAAGGGTGGTCCAAAGGAATGTTTAGACAAATTAAATTAGTATTCGCTCACTGCTTTAAGTCCCACTGCCTGAATTTCAGTTAAACAGGGTCATTTTAATACCCCCACCAGCATTGAGCATTGCGTTTTTGTGAGTATAAGGAGGATACTTTGGACTTTGCAGCATCATATGTTCGGCCTGCAATACTTTGGAAGATTTTTACAAAGCCTTCTCATTGCTTCCCGAGCTGCTTTATGCCACCCTGTGCAGAACTACTTTGGGTTCGTTTTCTTCTATTTACACATCAGCTAAGATCAGTTCTGGTCAAATAACGCTTTTGTTCTCTGCCAAGCATGTATGCATAAAATGTACAGAAAGCTTTTAAAAGATTGAAGCAACCAATATTCTTTCGACAGAGGGAGAAGCTAATGTATTTTGGTGCGAGTTTCTACCATTATTTCCCCATTGGAAAAAAAAACGGTTTGAAGAGATCTTATGTCTTCAGCTTCATCGATAGTTACGAGACCCGGCTACAGAAAGTGCCCATTAACCTGTCCAACCTTTTGCTAACCTTTCGGAAATTAGGGTTGTCAAAGATTTCCATTCTTGCCATCTCTCTCAGACTGGTAAAGCAGCGTGACCTCTAAAGTGATTAAGTGGATTGGACTTTAGGCCTGGATATCGACATAGACAGGTGTCGATTAATTTTCTATAATTCTCATCAGGACAGCTGTGGTAGACAAAGGTCATTGGTATTCGCCATCCTTAGAGCATTCGCAATTATTGATCTGATCTTTCTACAATCAATGGCATAAGCCAGAGATGATCCAGTGATGCCAACGTGGCGCAGTACTTCCGTACAACTCCCGTTTTCATTAACTAAGGGTCCTATTGCTTTAAAGTCGCCTAGCTATCAAGGAAGACGGCAACGAATAACCTGAAAACTTTAGACTAACATATAGACAAAGCAAAGTCCCTTCCATAAATGCCGCAGATCTTTGAACGAAATGGGCGCCTAGACATCGAGATATTGGGGGTAATTGTAAAGCTGACAAACTGGCGGAGCTCTTCCTACGGGCCGTACATAACGGAGAGTTGCTGCTTTGTGAGCTTTAGCAGATCCCTTGCCACATTTAGACAAATGTACGCCCACTTTCTCTTTTTTTGGTGAATCCGTCTCACTTTGGACCGAAACATATGTATAACTTGGATAAGTAGGCTTTTCCCGTACTCCAGGATTTGCAGGATTTGCATGTTTTACAGGAACAGCTGTTTTCGCCTTTAATAAACCTCATTTCAACGTGGCGTACGGGAACGACCTTGGACTAAATCCTCCAAAACGTGCAAATCGTATACGTTCTGGAATGCTCTAAAGGAAATACTGGGACACTATCGAAAAACCGAGCGCAGACATTCCTCAACTAGCTTAGAGCGATCCGCTGGACTATCTGTCAGATGAAATATTTACCTGTCTTAGCGCCGTCGCGCAAATTTGCAGACTTTCTTAACGGTTACTTCTAGACTAAATTTGAGTTGCCACCTTTAACCACTCTCGTTCACTCATCTCCAGAGGTGATGTGAGGTAATTGATGTCAGTCTAGCCAGAGATCTTGGGATAGAGTCCAAGCTGCAACTACTCCGACTTCAAAATGTCAAAAAAGATATTTGTCGAAACTCAACTTTGACAACTTTTTTGTGAAAAAACTTATTTGCGATTTTGAATAACCTCAAATATGACAAAAACACTTTTTTTGCACTTTTAGGTTAAGATATCTCAAAATATAGCTCGAAAACTCTATGGGATGTCATATACCGTAAGCACATAATAAAATAATGTACATATGTATATATAATAGTCTTATACCGGATTTCCACCGGACAATAAATGGCGAAAATCTTGAGGTATTGTACAATGAGTTTGCGACATTCCTCGTCAAATTTGGCTTGGAAATAACTGGTATTGGCTAGCGCCTTTTGACATCTGACATTTTGAGTTGGAAAAGCATATAAGTGTTTAAATAAAATATCTAAAACTTGTATTTGGATCACCCTTTATTTGAAAACATGTGTGAAAATATGCATGTGTCCAAACATTTTTTTCTTTATAGCATTTTAAGTAGATATACATCGTTTGCATATTATGTATATTTACTTTATGTACGTACATAAATTTATATGTGTTCGTAGTACTTTTAAGTGATTTATATGTATTTTTGAATGAATACTCGCATTACTGAAAATTTTCGTTGACATACTCGCTCACCCCATTAATGAACCATATAGGTGAAAAGGATTTTCAGTTAGTCCCGAGGTCTTCAAACCAAAAGGTCGATATAGCTCTGCTGAGCAAAAATAATTTAGAAAAAAGTTCAAGAAATTTGTATCTTCAAAGTGCAAATTTGCGAAAAAGGTGTGTGTTAACTGAAATGAAAAAAAAAAATAAAATAAAATCGAGTAATAAATCCATTTAATGTCGACAATAAGCAAATTAAAAAAACTGTGCAATTTCAAAATATATACATGTATTTATACGTAAATGAAAATAATTTTTATTTAACTCAGCTGAAGCGCCAGTGGACTAATTAAAAAAAATTTGCAGAAGAATTTAATGATACTTGTTGAGAAGCGTGTTTCCTTTTTTAATATAAAACGATGGCATAATTTGCGTTCTATCAAATGCTTTTTTTTAATTTTTATTTTTTTAAATTCTCTTTTTTTATTTTTTAATCCTCTTCAAACAGCGCGCGTGTTTGTGTGGGTCTACGTACAGTCTTTTTATGCGCTTGTGTCACCTAAAATTAAATAATTTGATTTTACAAAAGTATTTTTTATAAATAAAACTCGCAAATAATTGGCAGCTTTCCAATAATATGTGCATATGTTTTTTTATGAAATTTCAACGTGCCTTAAGGAAGCATGAAGACCTTCGAATATACTTAATAATATAACATTTTATTGCACTATAATTCATAGTTTTAATGTGCAAAATTTAGTATAGAAATAGCTAAAAAGTTAAATTTTTTTAGCAGTTCTTGGATTGAAGGTCAATTGAAAATCACAAAAAGATAACGATGTTTCTTAAATTTTTTTGTTTTTGACATGGCACGCGTTTTCCCTTATCAAAATCGTGTTTCGAGTCGATGTCAAGGTCGTGGTTCATAATAAATCCTACTTACACCCGCCCTGATAATAATAAACAATTTAATTTTACTTCTTTACAGTTGAAAAATGGGTGAATTCCAGAGTTTGTTGTCCACCTTCGCTATTCTGGCAGTACTTTTGATATTTCTTTATCTTTTGTATGCCATGTTTTAAGCTGGAAAAAATGAATAAGAATTGCCCACCGTGATTACAAGTGCCTTACTTGTAATCATGTAGTATATAAGATGACATCTCCAGCTAAAAAATTGGTAAGTAAAATCTAGTAGATATATAAATTAACAATTCTAGTATATAAATGTACATATGTAAAAATCTGTGGCATTTTATTTCAACAATTTTGAATTAAAAAATAATCTATTTACCCTGAAAAAGTTTAAATTTTAATTAATACGGGTGACAAACGAACTCGCTTATCTGCATAAACAGCCTTTATTTGCATTAACTTATGCATTTTCTTCTTTCAAATGCGCATAAGCAGCCGAATATATGCACGAAATTTTCGGTAATTAACTTGGATCAGCGGAATTTTCGATGACAACACTGGTAAAAACGGCTAGCTGTTGTCTTTTGTACAAATAAGCAAATAAAGCAGACGGATTCGGAGTCCGCGGTGGCCGAGTGGTGATAGTTGCGTGTTACAAGTCTGTAGGTGCCAGGTTCGATCCTCGGTTTGGGGCGATTGCCAAAAGTTATTTTGTTATTATTTTTTATTTTATTTTTTTAATTAAATTTTTTTTTAATTTTATTTGATTTATATATTTAATTTTACCTTTTTCTATTTTCATTTGTTTTATCTTATATCATATTTTTTATTTTTCTATTAGTTAATTTAAATTTTTATATCCTTATTCATAAAAAATAAAATAGGTTTAAAGAGCTCTATAAAGTGACATTTTCATACAAAATTTCGATTTATAAAGCAGTTTAGGTTGTCTTTATTTTTTATGAATTTGGGTATTAGAGTCTAATTTTATTAAAAAAGTCAACAAAAACTAACTGAAAGCAACCTTAAAATATATAGAACTAATAAATGATTGAATTAAAAAGAAATAAATGAAAGTTCTACTGGCCGTGGTGCTCGAACCCAGACTGCTGTCTGTTAAGGCACAATTTTAATCAGATAAAATGCGCCGTTAATCCGGATCAAACCTGCTGTCTGTCTATGCTTAGTGGACATCTTAAACTACACCTATGGTTATTCGTTAAAATATTTTTTTGGGAACCCAATAAAATGGCCTTTCTCAAGATAAGTTGTTTTAATACAAGTAATTTTTAGCAAAAAAAACCGAAAAAAAGAAATATATATGTATATATATATATCATGATCGAATGATCGGATCGAAACTAGACCACCTTTGAGACATTACCTTTCCGATTCGGTTGACGTGGTCCAAAGTTATGCGGTAACATACTTAAAAAAAATATATATATATATTCCGACGAACTGATAACCTCCTCCTTTTTTGGAAGTCGGTTAAAAATTCCACAGATATATAAACATCCGAGTTGTGCCCGACTTTGCAGCCAACACGTTGAGGACTTTTCTACAATCTATCGCAATTTTTTTCGTGGTTTCACAGCATTCCAGTGACTTAATAGCTACTTGACTATCGGAGTATATGGTTACTGAAGGCAGATTAAGCGAAGATTCGACAAGACAAGATACGGCAGTGGTATGGCCACCTAAAACAAAGGTCTAGTGAAAGGCCCTTCGAATGTAACCCACTCTCTACTCTTAGATTTAGTTTAAAGCCATCCATGTAGATCCATGGCTTCAGATTTAACTTGGACGCCCCAGACCGAATCGTACGCCGAGTTCTTTCCTGAAGGGATACCAGTGGAGAACTTGTTTTCGAGCTCGAAAGGTCGTGGTGTGTAGTCTGGAGACGTAAGCGGAGAGTTGGTTGTGGAATGCTGGTGTGGTCGACTGGTGTCTTTCCTTTCTGACTGTGCATTATCGCTGGCCTGAAGCTTTCCGAAAAAGGTCTTGATGAGTTTAGAATTAGAATGAGCGTCTTATCCAGTGGTGTCCACCAAGCTGTGACGCCGTAAAATAATATGGGACCTACGATTGCTGCGTAAATGCAGTGCATTAAATGAGGTTTAACACCCAATTTCTTGCCTATAGCTATGTTTTCAGACGTAGAGAGCGGTAATGACCTTTCTGACCCTCTACTCACGTTGCGTTTCTAGGTCAGTTTTTGTCCAAAATGACGGCCAAGTATCTCACTTCATTTCAGAGTGACAGTACTACGCGGTTTAATGTTGGAAGTTGCAATAGGGGGTTTTCGGATTTGGGGAATTCCCTGTAAAGGTAACCACGACTGTTTAATCCAATCTACGCCATCTCACAAAATTTTGGCTGCGTGTGTTCATTTCCATATTCCTATATTTATTTCGGAGTTTTAATAAACATACGTACCTGCAAACTTGCACATACATATATGTGCAACGCGAAAATTTTTTTGCACCATTTTTTTTTCGCATAACGGGACTTTTTCTCCGAAATATTGTATAATCTCTAGCGTAATGTAGTTTTGCAAAACGAGTTGTTGTTTTTGTCATAAATGCCAAATGAAGCAAAACTGCCAACAGATAATAAAAAAAAATTATGATTTTCCTATTAATTTTAAAATTCCAATTCCAAATCCAACTACATACACACACACATACGTACATAGGTGTACAGTATGAAGATCTCTTGCGCCCACACAAAACCAAACCAAGCAATTCCATGCCAATAATCGCACAACGCCACCTCAACCATTACACATCCGACGCGGCAGGCAGTCATCCGTGTTCCAACGGTGTACATATGTATGTATGTACGCACGCCTACCGCAATTGCGACAAGCGTTGCGGATCTGGTGAAAAGCAGCGAATATTCGGCAATGATGCTATGATCCCATGATCCTATTAGTACGTTTGTATGTTTGTATGTGCTATAGAATTGTGCTGCCAACAGCTAGGCGGCTACATACTGGGCGGCTACATACTGGGCGGCTATATCCACCTCGTCCTCATGCTGTTCGGAACATAAGTTTTGATATTTCAATATGTGTAAATACTACTATATTTTAATGATCATATGTACATATGTATATACATACATATACACTGGCGGTCATGCGAATAGACTCGCCTTACTTTGAAGAGTTTTGGCTATACAACAAATACCTTACAAATCCCCCTTTCAAACTTTATACAACAAGTAATTTTTAGCAAAAAAAACCCGACTTCAACTCTCTATATATATCTCATGATCCACTGATCGGATCTTAACCAGAATAGTATGGGACCACCTGAGACACTACCTTTCTGATGCAAAAAGAATTATCGAAATCGGTTGAGGTGGTCCAAAGTTATGCGGTAACATACATAAAAAAAAATAAAAAAATAAAAAATAATTAAAAAAAAAATAAAAAAAAAAATATTCCGACGAACTGATAACCTCCTCCTTTTTTGGAAGTCGGTTAAAAATTATAAACAATCGACAAATTTTCACCAAATTTTTAAACTTTTTATTCCGAAAGTAAGGTTAGTCTATTCTAATGACCGCCAGTGGTATGTATGGCTATGCAATTGTATGTATCTATGTATGTATGTTCGTATGTAATTCATTCTGCTGCCGGCACACTTTTCATTCAATTCCGATACAATTCCGTGCGGCGCTGTGCGATGCTAATTGACCGGCCTTTGGTCTTTGTGGAGAATTCTTGCAGATGCGAATGCCAGTTTTTCAAAGGCATTCGGTACGAACGGTGTGCTCCGAACAGTTAACTCATTTACAGTCAACGGTGCGTGATTGCTAAATAGTATTAAATTATAAAAAAAACAGCTTATAAAATAACATATATATACTACATATATACATATGTACATAGATTCAAACAAATATATACATACATATTTAAGGATATAATTGCAAAAACTAAAAAAAAGCAAAAAAAAAAATCGAAAAAAACTGTGCCAAAAACCGCCTTAAAAATTCCAAAGCTATTTTTTGTTTCAAATTTGTTACCTCTTCTTTTATTACCTATTAAAAACAGCTTAAAAAGACTAAATATCGATGGCTGAGTGGAAGATCGACCGACAGCCAGTTTGAAAACGCCCTTTCTCAGAAAATTTTTCAACAGTGCCCTATTTCAAAATTTGGTTCAAAAACGCCCTATATCAGCACATTTTCAATGTATTTTCGTTTGAGATAGGGCGTTTTTGAACTGAATTCTGAGATAGGGCGCTCTTCAATCGAATTCTGAAGTAAGGCGTTCTTGAAAACTTTTCTGAGATAGAGCGTTTTCGAACGGCTGCCGAGATAGGTCGATCTTCCACTCAGCCATGGATATTACATAGTTAAAAAAAAAATCAAAACTATTTTCCGTACAACTTTAACATATTTTTTTATTTATATTTCACTTTGCCCCATATAGCTTAAACAACCAACAACAGCAACAAAATGAATGAAGCCAAGAGTCTATTCACCACCTTCCTTATCCTGGTCTTCTTGTTGGGTTTATTGTGGGCTTTCTATGAAGCGGTTTTCTAAAACTCCAACTATGTACTTAGACATGATTTTCATGTTTTAAACTTTAATATACCCCATAGAAACACACACACACACACACACACACAAATCCTGTGTTTTGGGGTACTTTTTGTTAGTTTTTTTTATTTATCATCATCAAATGTCATAGTTTGGAAATATTTATTTATGTACATCAAAGATGTCAACATGAAATCTGGCAACAACAACAACAACAACATCATCGTCTTACATGATAGAATGAATGAATGAATGCGCGAAAAATCAATTCCAAAAAACATTAAATCAACGAATTTGTAATTGCAAAAAAAAAATACTAAAAGAATTCGCTTGGATAGAAAATGAGGTAAGTGATATTTTTTTATTTATTAAATAAATATTTTGTTTATTGTTATTCTCTTAAATTACTGCACCATACTAAAATTCAAAGACTTTTTGGAACGGCCTTGAAAGCAGTACCTGTGCTATTCGACCAAGATCTTAGTGCTGCCAGACCTAACCTATTTTCGAATTAACAAAATTTAGGGAATAACCCAGCCAACCAGTGGAGTCCGCAGGGTGCACAATTTGGACCGCCTGTGCGGAGCGCCTATGCCTGTGGGTAGGTTCCGAAAAGAGTCCCTAAGGAGCATATTCGCTGAGCATGGCGCCGTTCATTAGGATTGGTCTAATGGTCGCGATATACATCCACATCAAAAGCTTAGGTTTTATTTAGTCCCCATTTTCTGCGGAATGTTATCTTGAAAGTGTAGTATGCTATGTAGGCCTTCTGCCAAGATACTTTGCGCTGGCGTGTGTCTTGCGGTCCAGCGACGGTAGTTTGAATTGTGGTATGTATTTGGTTTCTGCTTGTAAAAAGGATAAGTACTGTCTTGGCTGGGTTCACATTTAGGCCGCTTCTCTCAGCCCAAGCGCGTAGCCGTCCCGGGGTTCTTTCAAGAATTGCTCATATTTTATATAAAAAATAAACAAACCATTGAATTTTACAGTATAGTGAAATCCAAGTCAGGTCCCAAAATAAAAGTGAAGACTATTCGTGCATGTATACACAGATGGCTGGAAGTTGGCTGCTACGAGTCGATGGGGATGTGTAGTATATTGCGAACATCTGTTTTTCTCCTTCAGCTTTCGTCTTCCAGACTGCTGTAGTGTCCTTTAAGCTGGGATGGTAGCAATTCATAAGGTCACAGACAGATAAAAGGCTGACCTCCATACTGACTAAGAATTGCTGTAAGTCATACAGGGGAATTATAAAGCAGAAGCAGGGACCGAACATAACAGTTATTGATGAAAACTGTCATGGAAAAATTTACTATGAAGAAAATGTTCTACAACTAGACTAGCGAGACTCAAATTTGAAAATAAATTTATATTTGCAATTTTTATGCAAAATTAAGAAAAAATAACAATTATTTTTGATTTTTATATTATAAATCCAAAATAATTATTTTTGATTTTTATAATATATATCTTATAACAGTTATTGAAGACATTTATTTATAAAAGTCCTCAATAAAAATTAGTCAGTGACATTTTTCGCAGTTTAGAAGGTGTTGGGAAACAAAAGTTTACTACGACTTATACAAATGACTTTTATAAGTATGATTTAAAAATTAAAGGTCAGTGACTGATTTTTATTTATGACTTTTATAAATAAAAGTCTTCGATAACTGTTATCTAAGATATATAATTTAAAAATCAAAAATAACTGTTATTTGCAGATTATTTAGATCGAAATCAAAAATAATTGTTATTTTGGATTTGTAAATTAAAAGTCAGAAATAACGGTTATTTAAGAAGTAATTAAATCAAAGTCAAAAAATAATTGTTAAAGAGCGATTTTTTTAATAAAAGTTGTAACTGTTACGGTCCCTGAGCAGACGAAATCGTCGACTTAGTGGAACACCTAACCCCATCCTACATTAACTTTGATACCTTTACATATAGCTCTCGAAAATGTACCGAGCATCTACTACTACGCCACCTGCATTTTAAGAACAATAAATGACGACATTACTTTTCCTCTCGGGACGGGTATAAAAATTGAAAAAAACCTATTCCTTTACTTCGGAAAATTCGACTAGTTATGTGAATAGGAAAGCTATCGCTACTGTCTCCGTTCTTGGTAGACGCAGATGTTATCATAGGATAGAATTTAAAGCATACAAATTTGTATGCGGCCATGATGAAGTTTTCATTGAGAAAATCGAATCTGTATATATGGAAGAGATAGAAATTGTTATTGCTGCTATCGCTGATGCAATATAGCTTAATTAGCGTCGTCTGCAACATCAAAGATGCAGTTTTTGAATTTCGACAACTAAAAATAAAGCTCCTCTGCGCATTTTTATTGAGATATTCATTCGCGTAACGAATCAAAATCAGCAATTGGAACGTTTTCACTTTCGAAAAAAACCTACATGAAAATATATGCAAATACTTAGATACATACGTATGTATGTATGTATGATGGATGTACATATTTTGTGTAAATTTCATGCGAGGTCTGCCAAAATTCTAATATTTCTTGTTTGCTTTTTTGAAACAGAGACATTTTTTAAGATATGCCATCAAATAAGTATATCACTTCTTTATTTTTCGGTATCTACATAAATCAACAAATTTAATGAGCCATTTTTCCTCTAAATATCCATGAACCAATACTAGCGCAATATCGAGAAAAATATCTAAGAACATACATACATATGTATTCTATATAAAAAGTGTGAAAGCGTACAGCGATTCCCAACACCATTGCGAACAAGCGTTCCGTGGGTTTGCCAAAATACTTTCAACAGCATTTTCGATACAAAATTTGTCAACTTTCTGAGTGATACGTAACGCAGCAATAGCCGCTTGTGTGGAAAAACATTATATACATACATATGTAGATGCATATTTATGTGTGTATGTACGTGTAACTTATATTTTTCACGCCTTTCGAATGGAAGAGAACTCTGCTTGAATTCATCCATTGTCACTTTGTTGCACCTCGTTGTGTATATTTTCACGACAGTATAGTTGTTTGTGTTTTTAACATCAAATTTACCGTAAATTTTGTACTATTTTTTGTTGAAAATACTGCAATTTATATACATACATACAGTGTGCGTCAAAAATAGGTATACCCTGACGTTTTGACGATTTTATTTATTAGAATTTTTTTTACCAAAATATAGTCAGTCATTCAACAGGCAAACCACAAAAATACATTTTTTAAATTTCATATAGATTTCGGGAAAATGCAACAAATTTTCAATTCGATTTCTTAACATTTGAGTATGCAGTTTTGCAGCCCATAAAATTTTAGTGCAGGCGCAAGTTTCAAGTCGCTAAAATTATTGTTGATTTTGAGAATTTTTCCTCTGAGCAAAAGAATTGAAAAATTGAGAATTTTAATGAAAATTTCATGTATTTTCCTGACAACTGTATGAAATGGAAAAAAAAATTGATTCTTGTGGTTTTCGCTGTTGAATGAAGTATTTTTTTATAAAAAAATAAGAAAAATTTGGTATGGAAAAAAAACATATATAAAATCGTCAAACGTCAGCGTATACTTATTTTTGATACTCACTGTATATATAAAGCTTTTCTGTTGATTTTTTAATGCTTGTGTTTTTTTGCCGGCTGTTTTCGCTTGGTTTAGCACACTTTCTACTTAGATTTTTTTGTGTATGGAATTATATTTAATATTCTATATGTTATTCGAGTAGTATTTATAGCATTGCTTCATATTTTAAACAGTGACACAATATGTTGTCAAGTAGAAATTTCAAAAATTAAGAAAAATGTGCAGTAGCTTACATAGATATGTATATGTATGTATGTATGCTAAATGTACGCTAGAGAATAAAAAACAGTTTTTAATGCTAAAAATAAAAAATTTTGAAGAGAAAATTACCAGGATTAAATATTCAAAAATAATATCTTTTTAGATGTTTACATAACAAAAATAAAATTGACTACATATTTTTTCTAACTGTAAATATTAGAGTTGCCCCAAGATATTTTATTTCCGCGTTAAGATTTAGGACAGTGCCTCCAAGTAGCAGCAGTATATTGATTAGTCGTAATTTTAAATAGGTGGCAACCATTTAACAACATTATGATTGTTCCTACTAAAGATTTCCTAGCACTCTATCGTTTGACACCCGCATTGTAATATTTAAAATAATTTGTATATAAATTAATCAAATTCGACTTTTCAAACAGGCGGCAACCCTCGAAAAAGTATTTTCAAGCTAAAGCATTCCTACATTTCCCCGCCTAGCATCGTGATGAATATTTTAAATAACTGATCAATTAAATTTAATATCATTTTTAAACATGTGGCAACCCCCTAAATATACTACAGAATAAAAGCCTTTTCAAACCCATTTCGACTAATACCCACATTTTAATAATTCATTTGGCTTTTAAAATAATTTCAATCTAACTTTTTAAACGGGTGGCAACCCTCTCTTAAAAACCTCAACAATGTTTTTAGTGTTCAAACTAAAGATTTCATAACAATTTTTCGCTTGACTCCCGTATTACAAAAAATCGTCGTATAAGTTAATTAAATTCTACTTTCTCTTCAAACGCAGTTTCAAGCTATAACCTTCTTCAATTGTCCTCTGCTGATATTTTGGTACATATTTTAATTATCGCATCTTATGTCTCCAGCTGTCGGCGAATTAGTTTACAAACTTTATGTAAATGAAAGTTGTCCCCAGGCTATCTAATTTTTATTGGGTATTGGGTTTCGGGATTGCCCGCCTCTTATTGAGAGCATTCACTTCTATGTCCCAGTCGTAATTTGTGTCGTTTTGATGTTTCCAGGGTTTCCTTAGCAGAACGGTTCATAATGCAAACTAACCTGAAAACCGAACATTATCTGCAAACAACTATCTCAAAAATTTTATTGACTTTGATTTTACCAATCCGAGATTAACTACTTTTGTGTTGGGACTAGAATTCATAGACATGTAACCAAATAAAAAATAAAAAGTTGAAATTTTCCAAAAGAAACCAACTGATATTGCTGCAACACACTCCAATGTGAAGGGAGGCCTACGGAATTACTTGCATACTACTTAAAGCCAGTATGCAGCACTCAAGAAAACGGTAAAGAAAAAAATTTCCATTATTTTGTGTGTGTGTCCAAGAAATTTTGACATCTGAACGGCCATATATTTCAGTTGCCAGCATGGGTTGCCTTGTGCTCTTTTTTCACAAAACAACTTTAGTAGAAAGCGTAGCAAATTTCTTAAGAATTCCGTACTGCCTCAAGAAAATTTTACACAAGAAATATTCTTAGCCATTTCTTGTACGTCATTTTGTATGGAGTTTTTGCTTTTCTTGAGAGCTGCATACCGGCCTTTATTTAGTATAAAAATATACGCAATGCATATTGTTTCTAATAGTTACCATATGTTTGCCATTTCAAGTGGTTTAATGGATTTTTGGCAATCATTTTATGTAGGCCATTAATTTTTACATTAATACAGTTTGAAGCGCCATGCAAAAAGCACACATTTTCTTCTCCATTTCAATGTTGTACTAAGTGCTATAAAACATTTGTTCTGCTGTCGACAGCAAAATATAAAATTAATTTTTTTGTTGCTGAATATCGCTGAATGGAAAATGGATGCATTAGGCTTGTAAAATGAGCAAATAAAAGTTTTTTTTTTGTATAAAGGCACAAATACTTATGTCAAATGTACTTGAAGTTTTGGAATTAGTACGAATATATAAAAATTACTAAGTTTATATTATAGTTAGATATTTGTATATTATTGCTGCTTAAAAATACATACATACATTTCGCGGCGTTCACAAATAATTTTTATTTTCAATTTTTCTCATATAGATGACGTCAACACTTGAGCAGCCAGCCGCTAGGATGCCAATACGGCTGGGTTGTTGCGAAAAGGGGAAAGCGATTTTTCGCTGTTCACAGAGAAAAAAAAAAAACAAAAGAAAAATCGGTGAGTTTCACTGTAAATAATTCATTGAGAAATATTCAAATAGTTTTTGCGCAAATCTTGCTAAATTACAAACAAGTGCAAACGCCATAATCGATAAATACGATTGCATTATGTACATACGTGAAATTTTATGGCTGTGTATTGTAAATACTAAGTATTATTTTTGGCTGTGTCTAAATTTTTTGAAAAAATAATCAATTGCCATGTTTATAATGTTTATTTATTTTCTTTTATTTGTTTATTTTTATTTTTTTTTCATGTCAAGTAAAGTCTTGCTGCCCCGTGGAAAATATTGTAAGCAAATTACCATCGGCATCAGTGTGACCTCGCGGCGTGCTGTGTACTTTGTTGTAGACACCTATTTATTTGGAAAGTAAAAATATACTAAAAAGCGTAAAAGTGGAAATTTTCAGCAGCTGTCAGCAATCCATCAGTTCATCTTTAGTAAAATATTCCAGCCGAACGACGTTCATGTCATCGACTTCTAGAAATTGCGTTTATTTAAAAACAACAAAATAATAATTATGAAAAGAAGCCAAAAAAAAAAAAAATCATAAAAAACTTAAACGTAAAGAAAGCAAAAAAAGTAGTTTGCACATAAGCAAAAAAAAAAAAAAACCAATCATGTTTGGATCGTATTTATTACATAATATCTTCTTCTTAGTTGTATAAGGGTATTTGACATAAGCCATAGTTGTAGTGACTTTATATTTGTTATGAAATATAAAACAGCAGACAGGAACAAATAAAAAAAATGGGTATTTATGAATTGAAAAAAAAACAACAAGACCTTAAAATAAAATAAACTCAAAAAAAAAACACATCACAATAACTGCACTTTTGACAAAACAACTTTTCTCGAGTGAGGTCATTTTCTCTTCAAAGCTGTAATTCATTGAGTTGTCGAATGATATTTTTTTTTATGTTTAGTCATTAATAGGTGCAGTTCAAGATGCTTATTATTTTTAGATTTTTGTAGGCCAATTATGTTATGTCGCTGTCTTTCATTTTGAAATGATAATTTTACATTCCATAAAACTCTTGCGTTAAACTGAAAATGAAAAGTTCAAAACAATTGATATCAAGCACACCACGTTTTGTTTTCCGGTAAAATTAATTTTATTGTCAATTACTTTAATACTATTTTAGGTTGAGTTTAATAGTTGAATTAAATCAAGTTAGGGAACTTCCTATTCCTATTTAAACGAAATCTGTGCTAATCTTAATCTCCATCTCAATAAAAATTTTAATTTCACACTTATACCCCATTTCTGTGCATTTGACAAATTGTCAAGCTTAACTATTTGTCAATAAATTTGCGCCTAAACTATGCTGCAAAAATTTAATTCTAGACACTTTAAAAATTTACAACAAATTTAGCAAATACATACAAATCTTAGCGGCATAGCTTTAGGCGCAAATTTATTGACAAATAGTCCAAGGTTGATTATTTTTCAAGTGCACAGAATAGGGAGGGTAATCTCAATTCCAATCTTAATCCCAATCGGAGGAAGGTCCGTGTAACGTGAAACCCAATGTCTTTTGACTTTTTAGGCTTACGTATTTTATTTTTTTCTGAAAGCAATAGAAAGTCTATCCATATATTCATCGTCGTCCATCGATATTGTTATCGACAAAATAATCGATAGTGTTATCGATATTTTTATCGATATACATAATAGATATGGTATTCGATCGATATTGCTAGAGTTGTAATAATCAACATTGGTACCGATATATTTATGGATAAGTTATAGATATGTATATTTATCGATACGGTTATCGATATTGTTATCGATATAATATTTAGCGCATAAGATGTGATCACATGACTTGACATTACATCACATCAACTTGAAGAATATTTAATTGCCGAAAAATTATTCTATCTTGCCCCTCAACTGAATCGTATGCAATAATTTGCTAACGTAATCAGCAATTTAAGTAAGAAATTAATGACCAAAAATTATTAGAGCCTACATTAGCGCTGATAATGATACTTTAAAACTTGCTTAAGCATCCATTAAGTTCGGTATTAAGTAAATATTAGCAACTTGCATCATTCATGATTATGCGTGCATACATACGTAGACTACATACAATATACTTATAATACGTATACAAAATCATATAATCATATAGAAGGCCACATTTGATTACTTTGTGGGTAATCGACCAACAGATAAAATTTGACATTAGAAGTCAACAAACTGTGAAAAAAAAACTTGACATTAAATCTTTTAAACCGTAACAGAAGTTGAACTTCAATGCTTAATTAAGCATGAAAACATTGAAGGGAAAACGTTTAGATGACGAAAACTAGATATGGTGTAATTCATACCTGGTACGTGTGTTTTGTATCAAGTAAGTAAGTACCTACATGCGAATGCATACATATGTACCTGTGTGTATATACATACATACATAAAAATGTACATTAAACCGTACCAGAAAAAAAGTTTGCCGTACACCATGGAATCTAAGTTTGTATGGAAATTTCGAAAGAATTTTTTTTTTGTTGTCCAAACGTAGGGGTCGCCTTTTTACATTTTCCGTCATATTGAGATTCTTGATACTACTTGATTACTAGATATGTTGCATATTGCTAGGAACGTCTTCTATTGTTTTGGGGATTTTTCGCGATCAAAATTAGCGATAGCAAATGTTGGAATCCGGATACTAGTGCTTAGACGCGACTACTATCCCCAAGCGCCTAAATACATGCTATGCACCGCTGCATGTGCAAAAATTTCCTTTATGGCATTTATGAAATTTTTGCGCATGCACTTCTCAATTGCCGTATAATAAAACTTTCTTAAGTAATAAATTTATGGCGCTTCCTCCCGACAATGCTTCCGAAGTTTTTTGCGGACAAAACTAGGGAGGACTTTACCTCAGTGGTTAAACCATAAGTTTTTACCACGGAGCTTCACAATGGCTGGTTTATAAATGAAAAAAAAAAAATTCTTAATCAAAAAGACACTGACTTATTATATTGTACATCTTCGTATAAGCCTTCGTATTCACATTCGCAATCGACTTAGTATTATCCCTCACATTCTCACATTCGAAATCAAAGGATTTGTTTGTCTCTTCATTTTATTTGGGAAAATGACAATGAAGATGGAACACACCACCTTGGCACAACGCCCAAAACCACTTTGTCTCTGAACCAAATTTTACCAGGAACGAAGAAAACTCATTCCACAAAAGTTGCAAAATATTTTTGGCCGACCGAGTGCGGTTATAGAGGCTTCTGGAGCTGTCTAAACACTAACTGTCGTGTGTCCCCACCGGGCACTGTTCTTTGGGAAACCATGCGGTGTTGGGAGGACAACGAGGTGGAATTATCTCAGTATTTCCTTCTCAGCTGTGCGGCGTTCGCTCTATAATAACTCTCTGCAGTAGTTACCAGCTGTCTGCGGAACTTAAATTAGGGATTTTTCTAGGTTAGGTTAAAGCGGCTACCGGTCGTGTGTCCACAACGTGTGCTACACACAAGCGATCTCTTCACTTTCAGTGCGATTTTTTAGTTTAATTGTAAATACGTAGAAAGGCCAGGCCACTAAAGGTGTGAAAAAATTACAGCCGTATGTGCATCAAGGCTGCAAGTGGCCACCATAAAATAAAGTAATTTATAAAAATATTTTTTTTTCTACTTTTTATCTTAAAGTTAAATTTTTATATTCTGCATCGCCGTGAACGCGCTGACCCGATTATGTACGCACGAGTTTATAATTTATATTTTTGCAACGGATATTCATCTTACCCATTAACGTTTTGCTGGCTTTGATGTGATGTAGAGAAAAAAAAAAACAATGTTTACATCGAACTGGGTATGGCATTGTAAATTTGTTTATATGTATACTACATCAACGCACAAGTACATACGAAAATACATTCATATCTGACTGCAGCGCTAAAGATTACGCAATTCCCATCGGACGCTGGAACACTTGGTCGGTGCAGTTAAATGCGAAACCGGCAGTAAAACAAAATATTACCCGATGTCCAAAATTATGCGAAAACTTGTGAATGCGGTTTAGTCAACCGATAACGATGGAGGTCTGGACAACAAAAAAAAAAAAAGAATTAAAAATGAACAAGTAAGAAAGTCTAAGTTCGGGCGGAGCCGAACATTAAATACCCGGCGCAAGTATTAAATATACGTTTTCCACCTTTCCGAAAGCTACCGCTACATGATAAGCCGGGGTGTATAGATTTTAAGTAAATTAGCGTCCTTAAATTTCGAAATATTGAAATTTCAAGCATATCTGAAATTTACCGTTATATGAAATGCGGCCTCAATTTTAGTCCGATTTCAACAAATTTCAACGGTTTGCTTTTATGTGGCAAGCCCAATAACCATACCGAGCTTGGTGCAAATTGCTAGAGCGGTTAGCGAGATACATATATGTGATCATAAGTGGGCGGTGCTACGCCTATTTTCCAAAATTTTGTCATAAACGTATTTCTTGGTAAAGAGTTGTTGCAATCATCAATTTTGAATAAATTAGCTTCAATATTTACTGATTTTTCGAATATTTTGTATTTCTCGAAATTACCGTTATATGGGATGTGGGCGTGGTTATTGTCCGATTTTAGAAATTTTCGGCCAGTTGGTATGCTGTACCAGGACCAACAACTGTGCCCAGTTTGGAAGAAATTGGTGTAGCGGTTACCAAGATATACACATGTAACCATAAGTGGGCGTGGCTACGCCCATTTGCCAAAATTTTGTAATATTCTTATTTTTCGTCTAAAACTCATTGCAAATATCAATTTTTAGTGAATTATCTTCAGTAGTTACTAAAATATCGCAGTTTTCGTTTTTCTGAAAATTACCGTTATATAGGAGGTAGGCGTGGTTATTGTCCGATTTTTAAAATTTTCAGCCATTTAGTATGCTGTACTAAGGCCAACAACTGTGCCAAGTTTGGAAGAAATAGGTGCAGCGGTTACCAAGATATACACATGTAACCATAAGTGGGCGTGGCTACGCCCATTTTCCAAAAATTTTTAATATTCATGTTTTCCGTCTGAAACTCATTGTAAGTATCAATTTTGAGTGGATTATCTTCAGTAGTTACTAAAATATCGCAGTTTTCGTATTTCTTAAAATTACCGTTATATGGGAGGTAGGCGTGGTTATTATCCGATTTCGCCCATTTTCAATACCATCCGTCCCACGCCCAAAAGAAGTTCACGTACCAAGTTTCGTTAAGATATCTCAATTTTTACTCGAGTTATCGTGTGCACAGACGGACGGACGGACGGACGGACGGACGGACGGACAGACAGTCACCGCTTAATCGATTTCTCTTTTCATTCTGATCATTTATGTATACATTTGTCTATATCTATCTCGATTCGTTTTGCCTGTTACAAACAACCGTTATGTGAACAAAGTTATAATACCCTTGTGCACAAGTGCGCTCGGGTATAAAAATAGTACGCGCACATGGTGAATGTAATTGAATGTATGTCAACACATTTGTATGCACATTAGGGTGGTCCAAAATACGTAAGTAAAGTCGAAGAAATATTCATA